CCTGGGGGTGGGGTGACAGGCGGCGGCCTCCACGCTCACTGGATGTCGTCCTCATTAGCGAAGATGATGATCCCTCGGGCGTTGGGCGTCTCCATCAGCCGGTGGACGATTTTCTCAAACTCTCCTGGTTTGGGCTCCCGGGGGATTTTCAGAGACTGGGCGATACAGACCCCACCTGAGGGGGTGGGGGTGGGGGTGGGGGTGGGTGGGGAGGTGTGGGGGGGGGGGGGGAGGGGTGGCCGAGGAGGCAGGGGGGGGGGGGGGGTAGTTGGGTGGGGGGGAAGAAGAAAGAAAAACGCAGTTAAAAAAATAAACGTTGTCTTCAGCCCTGTGCGGGCAGCGGCGGCCATCTTGAATCCAACTGAGGGGCTACTTTACAGAGGCTTCCGAGCGCCAACTAGGCCTCAGGACACAGAACAAACCCTCCTCAAGGCCTCATGTCAATGCAATAACTCCAAGGGCGCCTTTTAATCATAAAATCAAAGTGGGATTCGAACGCACAGTTAGGAGTTGACGGCTAGGAACTTACCAGCCTCCCTGGAGATCTGGGAGAAGGCCTCGACGCCGCTCTCGCCGTAGTTGCCCTCCGAGGCGATGGTCGAGACGTAGTTCCAGCCCAGAGCTTTGACGATGTCCACCATGGCCTGGGCCTGGTAGGAGTCAGGGGGCACCACCCGGGAGAAGTAGTCGTACCTGTTGTTGTCACTGAGCTCGGGGGCAGTCGAGGCGTAACTAATCTGAGGGATCTGCGACGGAGAGGGAGAGGGAGTCACCCTCCACAGCGAGCTGAGGGAATCTCGGAGGGTCGGTGCCGAGGGGAGCAGGCGCTGTTGGAGGGTCGGCACCGAGGGAGCGGGGCACTGTCGGAGGGTCGGCACCGAGGGCGCGGGCGCTGTCGGAGGGTGAGGCAGTGGGCACTGTCGGAGGGTCGTCGCCGAGGGAGCAGGCGCTGTCGGAGGGTCGTCGCCGAGGGAGCAGGCGCTGTCGGAGGGTCGGCGCTGAGGGAGCGGGCACTGTCGGAGGGTCAGCACTAAGGTAGCGGGCGCTGTTGGAGGGTCAGCGATGAGGTAGCAGGCACTGTTGGACGGTCAGCGCTGAGGGAGCGGGCACTGTCGGAGGGTCAGTGATGAGGTAGCAGGCACTGTCGGAGGGTCGGCGCTCTCTCCCCACCTTGGGCCCTCCCTAAGGGTCTGGGTTAGAGTTAGGGTTCAGAGTTATTGGGTTAGGGTAGGCATTGGGATTTAGTAGGGGTCGGAGGTCGCTTCACTGCAAAGAGCCAGAGGATAGGATAGGTTTAGGGTTATGGTTAGGGTTAGGGTTAGAGTTAGGGTGAGAGGGTGAGGGTTGGGGCTGGGATTAGGGTCTAGGGTTAGGGTGAAAGGGTGAAGGTTGGGTTTGGGGTTAGGGTTAGGGTAACTGGGTCAGGGTGAGGGTTGGAATTGGGATTAGGGTTAGGGTGAGGGTTGGGGTGAGGGTTAGAGTTAGGGTCAGGGGTAGAGTTAGGGTCGGGGTTAGTGTCAGGTTAGGATTAGGGTTCGGGTTAGGGTGAGCGTCGGGGTCAGGGTTAGGGTTAGGATCGGGGTTAGAGTTAGGGTCGGGGTTAGAGTTAGGGTTGGGATTAGGGTCGGTGTTAGGGTTAGGGTCGAGGTCAGAGTTAGGGTCGGGGTCAGGGTCAGGGTCAGGGTTAGGGTTAGGGTTAGGATTGGGGTTTAGGGTCAGGGTGAGGGTTACCGTTGGGGTCGAGGGTTAGGGTCAGGGTTTAGGGGTCAGGGGTCACTTTACCGCAAAGAGCCGGAGGATGTTGGCGACCATGATGGAGACGGAACTGGCCGACGCCCCGATGACCCCAATGACCCTCTCCGGTTTGGGAATGATGGGCGGCTCACCATTGGAGCACCGGATATCGGAGGTGTCCTTCTGGATGAGGGCCTGCACAAAGGTCAGTGACTGTTCGAGAGCGTAGATGTCCCGGGAGCAGGTGTCCAGGATGCGGGCCCCCAGGGTAATGTTGGGCAGGATCTCGGGGTCACTATTAATCTGGTCCAGGGCATACAACATGGCTTCCATCCTGTGAACACCCTTCTCTTTCTTAATGTCTCCGCACGGGATCCCGGCCGGACCTTTTCCGTGGACGGGGAACAGCCCCCCCAGGGTGATGTCGCCCTCGATCCTGATGGAGTGCGGCTGGCTCCCCTGGTGGGCACCGCTGGGCACTGGGCTCCACAGCGTCCCCAACGTCAAAAAGGCCAACAGCGACCAAAAGCTCCCACGGCCCATGGTCCTCTGGCGGCTCTTTGCTGAGGTACCAGCCCAGGGTTGGGCTGTGAAACACGCCTGGAAAGTCACAAGCAGACAAGAGAGAGAGAGGTCAGTGCTGCCTGCTGCAGTTCAATAGCACCTCCACCCCCATGCTCACCCCAGTTCAGCTGTTAGGCATGTGGTGCCCCTCCACCCCCACCCTGTGGACGTAACCCTCACACTCACACTCTCTTTCACACTCACACACACACTCACCTAAACATATATACACTCAAACACACACTCTCTCACACACACAGGTACACACACTCACACACTCTCTCTCTCTCACATATACACACTCACACACTCTCTCTCTCACATACACACTCTCTCTCACACACACACACATACATATTCACACTCACACACACACACACACACACTCTCACACACACTCTCTCACACACACACACACACACTCTCTCACACACATGCACACACTCACTAACACATATATACACGCAAACACACACACACACTCTCACACACATACATACACTCTCTCTTACACAGACAGGCTCACACACACTCTCACTCACACACACACACACTCTCTCTCTCACACACACACTCTCTCTCTACACACACACACACTCTCTCTCTCACACACACATGCTCTCTCTCACATACTCTCACACTCTCTCACACACAGACTCTCTCTCACACACACACACTCTCTCTCTCACACACCCACTCTCTCTCTCACACGCACACACTCTCTCTCACACGCACACACTCTCTCTCTCACACACCCACTCTCTCACACGCACACTCTCTCTCTCACACGCACACTCTCTCTCACACACACACACATACAGCCACACACTCTCTCACACACACATACACCCACACTCTCACACACACATGTATGCACTTGCACACTCTCTCACACACTCAGACATACACACTCTCTTGCTCTCACAATCCCTCACTCACATATACTCACTTACACATACTATGTCATTCTCACACTCACACATACCCACACACACATACCCACACACACTACACACACATACACTCACACATACCTGTACACTGTCTCACATACACACTCTCTCATTCTCATAGTCTGTCACTCATACACTCTCTCTCACACACACACGTTCACACACACATACCCACACAAACACACTCACATGCATATAACACACACGCACAACAATCACAACAGCACACACATATACAACACACACGCTCACCCACAGGCACAACAGACAAGACAGAGCACACATACAGCTAGAACATAAAGAAAATACACAGAACAAGAGCACACATACAGCACACATCTCGGAGTTTCCCCTTTATTAGCTATGGTGCAATCCTACATACAACACACACACATAGCATACAACACACTCTCTCACACACACACAATTCACATATAACACACAGACAGCATACACCATGAACATGCACACACGCAACAGACACATACATATACACAGCTTCCACCACTTATGCACGCACACACACAGACACACACACACAAAACAAATAACAGGCAGAAAATGTACAGATGCACAACACACTCAACAGACACACACAAAACAGACAGCACACAAACACAGAGACAACAGACAACACACATAACACACGCAAAAACAGTCAAACACACAGACAACACATATACAGCATACACCACAAACATAACACACATAGACAACAGTCAGACAACGCACTCACAACACAACTACGCACAGCCATAACAGAGAGACCTACAGCGCACACACTAACACACACACAGAGCATGCACCGCACTCTCTGTGGGTCTCCTCTGTCTCACACTGAGCCTGATGGTATTCCCAGATACAATCCCTTTTCCTTAGGATCCGGGCCGTCGGGGACACTAGACCCAAGGCTCGGAAACTCCCCACTCACACCCCCAACCCCCACGCATGCCCCCACAAAGCAGCTGACTCACCCAGGAGCCCTGGCACTGCTGGACAGTGGGCACAGCACAGTTCCACTCCCGCTGACTCCCTCAGTCCCAGACACCCAGCGTCTCGCTGTTTCCCCGTGCCAAGTCTGCCCCCGGGGGGAAAATCAGACCCTGGCTAGTGAGGGGGTACCCCATCCAGGTCTGGAAAGCAGGGAGGAAGGGGGTTTGGGGAAGAGGGTATGTCTGGGGCAGGGGTCAGAGATACCTCACTGACACCTTCCAGATATTCTGGGAGGAGAGGTGGGGGTGGGGGGTAGGGAAGGGGGTGGGAGAGTGCGAGGAGAGAATGCAGGGGCAATGAGAAAGAGAGGGGGGTGAAGAGGGAGAGAGAGGGAGCGAGATAGGGAGAGAGAAGGGATAGAGAGCATGTGATATAGAGAGAGAAAGAGAGGGGATAGAGAGAGTGTGTGATAGAGAGAGGGGATGGAGAGAGTGTGCTCGATATAGAGAGAGAAAGAGAGGGGATGGAGAGAGTGTGTGATAGAGAGAGGGGATGGAGAGTGTGATACAGAGGGGAAAAGTGAGGGGATTGAGAGATTGTGTGACAGAGACAAAGATAGGGGATAGAGAGACTTTTGATATGTATAGAGAGAGAGGGATGGAGGGAATGTATGTGTTATAGGAAGAAAGGGGGAGAGAGACGGGGAGACTGTGGAAGAGAGTGGGGGGAGAGAGAGAGAGACAGAGCGAGACAGGGAGAATGAGGGAACAAGATAAGGAGAGAAATGTATGGGAGAGACGGAGGCAGAAAGCAAGAGAGGAATGAGGGAGGCTGGGGAGCGAGAGAGAGAGAGATGGGAGAGCGACCCAAAGGAGGGAGTGAGAGAGGCGGGGGGGAGAGAGAGACAGATAAAAGAAGGGAAAGAGGGATATTGAGGAGAGAGGTGGAGAGAAGGTGAGGGAAGAGAGAGAGAAAGAAAGGTGGTTGCAAGGGACAGAGAGGAGAGAGAGAGGGAGGAAGGAAAGAGAAACAGATGGTGAGAGACAGAGGGAGGGAAGAGAGGATGCTATAAATATAAGTACTGAGAGGGAGCGATAACGAGACTGTCCAACCGAGAGGTAATATAGAATAAATATATTTAAAATATGTAAAACTGAGACAGGGAAACAGGGAGAGAGAGAGGGAGAAAATGAGAGAGAGATAGAGACAGACAGAGAGATGGAGAGAGAGAGAGAGAGAATGAGCTGAATACAACAGAGTGTGAGAATGAGACAGACAGAGGGATAGAGTGACAGAGGGATAAAGAGATTTAGAGGGAGGGATGGAGAGGGGGAGAGAGAGAGAATGGGCTGAATACAAGAGAGTGTGAGAATGAGTCAGAACAGAGGGATAGGGTGACAGGGGGATAAAGAGATTTAGAGGGAGGGATGGAAAGGGAGAGAGAGAGAGATGGAGAGAGAGAATCCTTTCAGCTTGTATTCGGTAGAAATGTGAAGGAAACTTTGCTGTACGAGCTGGGAATGTTTCTGAGATGAAGCTGGAACCTGAGAGACAGCTGGTCGTCCTGTGAGAGATGATGTGACGGAGAGAGAGAGAGAGAGTGTTAAATCCTTTAAAAGCCTGGCTGGATGTGTGGGGCTACAAGGCTGGATTAAAATTGTTCCGGGAGAGAGCTGGCTTTCACACTGTCCAGTTGGTAAACCTGTGAGAATCCAGTCTCGTTACCTCAGGGCAGGCGGGTATGGGGATAGGGAGGTCTTTCCATGGCTCCGAGGGTCCTGCTCTCTCTCTCTCTCTCGTGTGGAAGTGTCATGGTTCCTGAGCCAACAGCAAGCTCTGCCCTTCTGCCACCATTGTCCCCACACCCCCCCACCCCACCCCCCAACTCCAGCCTTGGCAGCTCCGTCCCTCAGGACAGAAAGCCATTGAGAGCCTGCGGGTGTCAGAGTGACTGCAGAGCGACCCAGAGTGACCACAGCTCTCCCAGAGTGAACACAGCTCTCTCAAAGTGACCGCAGCTCTCTCAGAGTGACCACAGATCTCCCAGAGTGACTGAGAGTGACCACAGCTCTCTCAGAGTGACCCAGAGTGACCACAGCTCTCCCAGAGTGACCACAGATCTCCTAGAGTGACCACAGCTCTCTCAGAGTGACCACAGCTCTCCCAGAGTGACCCAGAGTGACCACAGCTCTCCCAGAATGACCCAAAGTGACCACAGCTCTCTGAGTGACCACAGCTCTCCCAGAGTGACCCAGAGTGACCGCAGCTCTCTCAGAGTGACCCAGAGTGACCCCAGCTCTCCCAGAGTGATCCCGAGTGACCACAGCTCTCCCAGAGTGACCACAGTGCTCTCAGAGTGACCCAGAGTGACCACAGCTCTCTGAGTGACCCAGAGTGACTGCAGCTCTCCCAGAGTGACCACAGCTCTCCCAGAGTGACTGCAGCTCTCCCAGAGTGACCACAAATCTCCCAGAGTGGCCACAGCACTCTGAGTGACCCAGAGTGACCCCAGCTCTCTCAGAGTGACCACAGCTCTCTCAGAGTGACTGCAGCTCTCCCAGAGTGACCCAGAGTGACCACAGAGCTCCAAGAGTGACCCCAGCACTCTCAGAGTGACCCAGAGTGACCCCAGCTCTCAGAGTGACCCCAGCTCTCTCAGAGTGACCCAGAGTGACCACGGCTCTCCCAGAGTGATCCCGAGTGACCACAGCTCTCTCAGAGTGACCCAGAGTGACCACAGCTCTCTCAGAGTGACCACAGCTCTCAAAATGACCCAGAGTGACCACAGCTCCCCCAGAGTGACAGCGGCTCTTTCAGAACGATCATGAGAGAACCACTTTTTTTTTCCCTGGGATTGACCCCTGCACCCTGGGATTGACCCCTGCACCCTGGGATTGACCCCTGCACTCTGGGATTGAGCCCGGCACCCTCAGATTGACCCTGCACTCTGGGATTGAGCCCTGCACCCTGGGATTGAGCCCTGCACCCTGGGATTGACTGAGCAGACAGTCCCAGTGTGGAGAAGTGTGAGGTGATGCACTTTGATTGGAAGAACATTGAAAGACAACATCCCACCTATCCCCTCCTCCCACC